ACGCGTGTATTCATAGGATCGTAATTAAGAATTCGCATTAAAGCACCCCCTCCTCTCCCCCTCTCTGTTTCAATTATTCCGCGCATTCATCCATACCTCGGTGTCTAACGAAGCGGCGGAGGAAACCGCCTGTTGCCCGTGTCGCAAGCTCGCAAGGTTAACGAAGCGCTGGAAAAGAAACTGGATATAAAAAGAGAGCAGCGGCTCCTATTGGAATTACCGACACGTGGCCTTTGCGTAACCCCGATCTCGCCGCTTCCACCCCCTTGGGGCTTCTTCCTCACCCTCTCTCTTTCTCTCTCTTTTGTCCCTGTTTATAATTTTTTCATGTTGATAGGGGAATACTGGAGGAAGGGGAGGGGGTGGATAATGAGACGACTGTCGAGATTTTGCCTCGTGGGAGATTTTGCTTGCTTGCTTGCTTCGCTTCGCGCGCGCTAGAGAGAGAAATTTTTATAACAGGTGTGTTCCTCGCATTCCTTCGATTCGAGTCGAAATTTCGAAAATTTCCATTCGATCGAATACGATGAAGACGAAGAAGATGAATGCTTTTACGTATTCATTGTTTTCGAATTGTTTTTTTTTTCAGAGTATGCAGTTTTAAATTTTAAAAGCTTTAAAGATTGTATCGTGAATTTTGAGAATTAATGGATCGAGGGGAGAGAGGGGCGAGAAGAATTATCGAATTATAAATTTGAATTGTGAAACAAATTTCACAAATAATAAAAAATTGATTTTAATTTAAATGTTAATAATAATTAGTTTATACTTGATACACACGTTAGACGTGAAATTACGAAAACATTTATGAATCGTGATGGAGATTAATCATTAGCCTAATCGTGTCGAGCACGTGGTTAAGACAGATTGATACGGCAAACTTTTGATCTATCGGATACCCATTATAAACGATCACTAGCAGAACCGTCATCAACCACGATTAATCTACCAGCATTCTCCTCGATTAAATAACAAATTTCGAACATGCTTGAGAAAAATGTGTCCTCCAAATTATACTCAAGAAACTGTATAATATAATATTAAATAACGTGTATAATTTGTGACAATTTTCCATTTTTCTTTTTCATTCAATCAACACCAATAACGAATTTCGCTATCCCGATAAATTTCTAAAACGCGTTCGATAAAGTTATTTTCTTTTTACCATATTCTGTCCCATTTCACTCTCTATAGTTTCCCTTTCCATTCGATCAAACACGATCAAACTATGGACGGAAGCGGAAAGGAATACAAACAGGCCGCGCCACGTTGTGTATCGAACGTTACGAAATAAAGAGAAAAAGAGATCATCGTTATAATTATCCTTGCGTTATAACTCTTGTCTTTCAAAAGAATATACGGGACTTTTTGTTTTTTATCAAACGTTAATTAGAAATTATTCGGTTCAAACTTGTGTTAATTTGAAAGAGATCTATCAAAGGCTTGATAATTAATCTTTTTTGCTATTATATCTCTATATCTCATTTTTTATTTATGTAAATAATTTCTTTCTTCTATAAAAAGAAAGGGTTATATTGATTAATATCTCTTTCTCTCTCTCTCATTACCAAACGATGCATTCGATTAATACACGTAAAATTATCCTGATATCTAAAAATTTTAAACAAGCGGGATATGTAGAAGATAATACACGATTTAAAAAGAGAATGAAAAAAAAAAAAACAGGAAAGAAATTAAAAAAGTGCCGACTTTACGATACCGTTATGCTCATCATATTCCACGGTGTTAGCATTTTCGAGTTAATTACTAGAGAAAAAAAGGAAAGAAAAAAAAAAGGAAAGAGGAAGAGGAGAATCACGGTGGACTGAGAGTGGACAACGAGAATCTACGGGTTTTGAACCATTGTACACGATGTTTTTAATGGATCTACAGTTTCAAAATAGCGATACTTAACGAAATTCCGTGTTTTTGCAACGCGCACGCGTCGAGAATAAAAAAAAAAAAAAAAAATCT